AAATTCTTTCTTGGCCCTGGCCAGTTTTGCTCAGTGGTTAGAGTGAGGGCCCGCGGACCGATGAGTCACTGGTTCAATTCTGATCAAGGGCACATACCTCGGTTTCAGTTTGATCCCCATCCCTAGTTGGGGTCGTGCAGGAGGCAACCAGTCAATGTGTCTCTCTCACATCGATGTTTCTCTCTCTATCTCTATCTCCCTCCCTCCCTCCTATTCTGTCTGGAAATCAATGGAAAAATATCCTCGGGTGAGGATTTTTTAAAAAATCTCTTTTGGCCAAATTTTACCATAAATACATGTCTCAGTCGGGGTGTAGCTTTAAAAAATAGTCTACACCGGATATTTCAGTATTAAGGATTTCATATGGAAACTAGCTGCAAATGCTTGATAAGAGATGAAAGGTACACAGGGGACAGCGAGCCCAACAATTAGCAGAATCAAAAAGCTGGTACCAAGAAGAGGGAGGAGAAAGAGAAGAGGTGGTGTTACCAACGTCAGGAGCCAGAGCCCTCAGTGGGACCTGTGGCTCCCAGCAGAGAAAACGCGGTCTTTTCAGAAACACCACTTGGAGCAGAGAGGGGAGAGGAGACATCCTGGTTCTTCACAACTGCATTTATGCCTTCTAGCCTCCTGCAGTGCTTCCCACAGGCTGAGCCAGAGTCCATTGGCAAGGAAGCCTGGGAAATGTAGTTTGAAGAGGAAGCTACTTGTTATGTACAGTCTAGGGGAAGGGCGGGGTATGGATCTGAGAGGAAACACACAAGTACAATAGATTTTTACATAAATGCATTATTTATGAAAATAGGTGCTGTGGGTTTTTTTAATGTGAAGAAAAAAAAAAAAAAAAAAAAACTAGGGCATGTTCCCAAATATTCTCTTTCTCTTGCAATTCAAGAACTTAAGGTTTGATGAAAGGCTCATTGTTTGCAAGCCATACAGAGGCATGTACATCATCAGAATGCTGATGGTATTAGGGAAAAACTCATCCGTCAGGTCTCCCTTCTTGCTTTTCAAATTCTCACCACCACCTTGCCAGGTACCCCTTAGCCAAGCACCCTCAGCTGCCCCAGGTTTCGAGATAGTGCCCACTTGGGCAAACTCCACTCCTCTCCTTCCTCCACCCAAACTCTCAAGCAAGCCCTACCTGTCCCATAATCTGCATCATCTGAGTCCCCTTTGCTGTCGAAATGTCGATGTCACTCAGAGATATGCTGTTGAGGTGAGAGAAAAGGTATATTTGAAACAACAAATCAGCTACTTATTCATCCCAAAGGGTATGTGATTAGAGCACAGCAAACCTTTCAATTAAATTCAAACCGTTTTTACTGAAAGCTTGAAATTCACCCAAACTGTACTTGGAGCAAAGAGACATACAATGAAAACAAAAACCAGGTCTTTTTCCTCAGAGAAAGAGTAGAGGTTTGCCAGTTGTTCAGGACAAAAAGTTTGGAGTCTTCCATCTAATCTGTCAGTAAATCCTTCCGGCTCAATCTTCAAGATACGCATCCAGTCCGACCACTGCTCAGCATCTCTGCGGACACGACTCTCCCAAACCACCGTTATCCCTTCCCGGGATAATTGCAATAGCCTCCTACCTGATCTCCCTGCTCCACACCTTCCCCACAGTCTATTCTCAACCCAGCAGGCAAAGCGATCCTTCTAAGACCTAAGAAAAACAATATCACTCTGCTCAAAACCTTCCAGTGATTTCTCTTGTGATTCAGGATAAAAGCCAAAATCCCAAAATCTTAAAGATGATCAACAAAGCCCTAAATAGCCTGCCGCCGCAGCCCGCCATTAGCTCTTGAACCTCATCCTATACTACTCGCCCATTCAGGTCCTCAGAGATGCCAGCCTGCTCCTGATTTTACAGATGCAATCGAAGTCTCAAATCAGCTGACTTGGAACTAATCGTAAAGGAGAATGTCCTGGGTGGGCCTGACCTCGTTAGATGAACAACTGTGCTGGGCTCTTCCTCAAAGAAAATCCTCGAAGCTGGCTTTTAAACCTTTCTGAGCTTGATTCGTATGCTGGCCTTTGAGAACAAAGTTGCCGTGTGTGAAAGGGCCACGTGGCTAGGACCCGAAGGTGGCCTCTAGGAGCTCAGCAGAAAAACAACAGCAAGGAAGTGAATTCTGCCAAAATCTGAATGAGGTTGGAAGAGGAGCCCGAACTTCAGATGATAACACAGTCCAGCTGACTCCTTGGTTTTAACCTTAGGAGACCTTGAATGGAAAGTCCAGCTAGCCCATGCCCAGAGTCCAGACACAGACAAACTGTGAGATGATATACTTGTGTTGCTTTAAGCCACTACATGTGTGGTAATTGTTACACAGCGATAGAAGACTCATACACTATGTATTCCTTGTATTCCCAAGCATCACAGGAGGCAAGCTGGCTCCTGACATTGTGACAACCGCATGCCAGGGAACAGAAAGGACAGAAAGGCAGAAGGGAGTGCAGCCCCTTCGGTTACCTTGTACTCTTAAGTGGCTTTCCCACAAGTTTCACACGGCACTTCACTTAGCTCCCCTAAACCAGACAGATGAGGCTGGAAATATGCCCATCTAGTGAGGCACTGCGTCACCCCCAACAATATAAGAAAGGGGCATTGACCACCAGGTAAGCCACTCTGTTAGGGAAACTGAAGCTCTGAGATGTGAGTGACTTACTGGTCCATGTCTTCAAGTCGTCTGGTGGCCAGAGCTACAATGTCCCGACCTGACATCGTGTGCCAGGGCTCCCAGTGGGAGCAATCTGGTGGGAGCCGGAGGCTTTGACCAACACCTGGTGCCCGCCCCTCCACCCACCCAACGGCATCCTTTCCCATTGCCTTGCCATCCTCTTCTATGGCAGGCACAACTGGTCACACAGACCCCTTACACTGTTTCATACCCTCCTTAGAAGGGAGAGCATCATTTTACCACTTTGTGACAGGTTTTTGGTTTTGTTTTGTTTTGTTTTTTTACAGATCAGAGGTAAGAGAGGCCAAGGAGATAGGATGACCGGGGTGGGGGGGAAGGTGGGTCACATCCTGCAGAAAAGGATGTGACTCCAAGCAGTTGGGTCTAAGAGATGGACCTGGTATACAAGGAATGTGTAGGGAGAGATTTTAGAAATAGCATGGAGGTGAATCACCAGATTGGGCAACAAGGCAGACAGAGCACAAATGGCCAGAGCAGAATTAAGACAAAGTCTGTATAGGACAAAGGAGTTTGCCAACAAAGACTAGGAAATTGGTCACTAGAAAAGCGGGGGTGGGGGGGTCAGTCATGCTCAGCAGGAGCCAAAAGCCATTGCACCAGGCAGAGGCATTCCGGACGCAGCTACAAATGACACAGTGAGAGGGAAACTCGGGCGAAAGGGTAGAACTGGGAGTTGCTCACATATAGAAACATGAACTGTGTCTGGGGTACACTAAATGCTAATTGCTCAATCACTCTGTGGGGTGAAACCGTTTGCAAATGGAAATGGGTTATCATTGTTCTATCGAAGCAGTCACAGAATATCATTTCCCTCCCTGCTAATGAGAACTCTGGGTGAGTTTCCACGAGATTTGCTACATTTCCTGGTCTTTGGTAATCTCATAACACCAGATCCTCCTTTAACTCCAGTCATTTCCTCCAAAAAGTAAATTCCTTTCATATAACAAAATCCACCCTAGGACATAGGATAGAATAAAATGAAGCCACCGTCATGTGAAGGTACAGTGGCATGCTCAAGCTTCCAAAATTAAATGACCCATCCTGTCTCTATGCCTTGTCTTCATAAAAATTACGAGTGCATGCATCACTTGCTAGGCACTGGTAATAGAGAGGAACTGCAAAGACTAATAAGTCAATACTTTTTAATAACCATGTGGTCAGCACCCTACAAATAAGCACATTCCCTACAACAAAAGCAAAAACTGCGAGAGAGGCAGTCAGTGAGTGTTTAGAAACACAGGTTCTGGAGTCAGAGAGCCTGGATTTGATCCCTGTCCCAGTGCTTCACAACCTAGTTCAGCCACTCAGCTCATTATTGAACCTCTCCGATCCTCCGTTATTTTATTACAAAATGGGGATAACAATAATACTGCCTCATAAGAGTATAATGAGAGTAAATAAGAATGCATTTCAAGCCCTCCACACAGTGCCTGGCTTAATAAATGTTAGCTATAGTATTCAGAGAGTTGCCTCAACTCGGTTTTGCTGTGCCTCTAAAGTGATCATCTGTAATTCGGATCCGCTCACTTCCTTCCGTCCAGCCCCACAGGCCACAGCAACATCCAACAACCCACATACATTTCTGGAACCGGAAGGCGTCTTATAAAGTATATAAGTATCCAGCCAAGGATGCACAACCAAGCATGTCAGCCCCTCCAGGCACCGGCGGTGTTGAGAAGCGTACCTAGTTGAGAACCATGAACCTACTCTCAACTTCCCATTTTCCAGAGGAGCAAACTGAGGCCCAGGAAAGTGAAGAATCTTCTAGGGTCACACCACCACTTCCGGGGTCTGCTTATTGACAGACCTGGCTCAGAACTGAGATGGAGAGCCAAACATCTTGACTCTGATTGCACAATCTTGGCACCACCTCAGGCTGCCTTATGGAATTCAACAAGCATTTCCTGAGAAACCACAGAAGAGGTCATGGAGGAGAATAAGATGGTGACCCTGCCAAGAATGGCATCAAAAACTAATCAGGGAAACTGGCATTGGTGGTGTTAAGAATTCTAAGTGATGTGCCAAAAAAGTGCTAAGATGTTTCAAGTGCTGCCTCTAACTCATGAAACTTTCATGAAGAAGGTAAATTTCTACTAGACTTTGAAGGCTAGAGAGCTCATTCTTGATAGAATAAACTCTTTGAGCAAAGGACCGTAGGTGGGGGCAGGGGGTCGTAGTGGGAAAGAGAACTTATATCGTCTTCTTGGACAGATGAGGAGGTGAACTATAATGCTGAACATTTGGGTTCAGGAAAGCCAATTGCCCAAAGTATTGTATAAAGATGCAAAGGAACACTCACTTCAGCAGCACATATACTAAAACTGGAAAGATACAGAGAAGTTTAGCAGGGCCCCTGTGCAAGATGACATGCAAATTTGTGAAGCACTCCATATTTTTCCGGCCAAGGGCATGCACCTGGGTTACAGGTTCGATCCCTGGACCTGGTCAGGGTTGTGTAGGAGGTAACCATGCCTTTCTAACATCCAATTTTTCCCTCTCCCCTCCCCTCCCCTCCCCTCCCCTCCCCTCCCCTCCTCTCCTCTTTCTTCTTCTTCTTCTTCTTCTTCTTCTTCTTCTTCTTCTTCTTCTTCTTCTTCTTCTTCTCTCTCTCTCTCTCTCTCCCACCTTCCACTCTCTCAAAAAAAAAAAAAATCAATGGAAAAATATCCTCAGGTGAGGACTTTTTTTAAAAAGATGCAAAGAGGAGAAAGTACTTCCTCTCTTCTCTTCCCAAAGTATCCACAGAGCATCTGCTTTCTGCCCACCACTGGTTCTGAAAGATGGGAAGCCAGTGAGAGAGCACCAAAAACAATTCACGTGGGATTCCACTCTGAAGACATTCAGGGGTATGGAGAGGCTCACTTCTCATTTCTTGGAAAAGTGGAAACAAACATGAATACAGCCAGCCCCTCTATTTAACAGCCAAGGAGGTGATGTTTGCAGTGATTATGACAATTACCATCATTATATTTGATGCTGCTTGAGAAAAAGTAAAAATGCCAATATTTTTACATTTCTGTCCAGCTCTTAAGTTCCAATAAGCAATAACTACAGCTTTCCATCACAGTGTTAAACTATTAAAATAATAGAAATAACACAGTTCCTTTTTTTTACAATATTTTAAAATACTATGAATAGGTTTGGAGTAGATTAAACCCTCCTATCTTATGCAGGTTAGCTATTGCTGCGTAACAAACCATCCCAAACTTGATGTTGTGAAACAATTATTTTATTACGTTCATGGATTCTGGTTGGTGAGGAATTTGGGAAAGAGACAGCATAGATAGTATATCTCTGCTCTTTGAGGAGACTCAGAAGCTGAGGGCTGGGTCCTTTGGAGGAATCTTCACTCACTAGTGCTTGAGCCTGGCTGTCAGCTGGGACCTCAGCTAGGCTGTCCATTCAGACATCGACATGTGGCCTCACCACATGGACTAAAAAAGGCTTCCTTACAGCACTGAGGATGGGATCAAAGTGTGGGTGTCCCAAGAAAACGATACAGATGTGTACGCCATTGCGTGATCTAGCCTTAGAAGTCCCATAACGTCACTCTTGTTGCTCACTCTTGCTTGAGGCAGTCACATGACTGCCCAAGTCCAAGAGGAGAAAACACAGACCCCATCTTTCAGTGGGAGGACTGTCAAATCACACTGCAAGAAGAACACATGCTATGGGAGATACTACTGCAACATTTTTCTTTATTTATTTTTTACTTTAAATAGTTTTTATTTTTCAATTATAGTTGACATACAATATTATATTAGTTTCCGGGATACAAGCCAGTGATTAGATATTACATAACTTACTAAGTGATTATCCAGATAAATTTCACACCCATCTGACATCATACATAATCACCAAGGTACATTCCCTATGTTGTACTTTACATCCCCATGACTATTCTGTCACAACCAATTTGTACTTCTTAATCTTTTTCACCCATCTCCTCAACCCCCCTCTCATTTGGCAACTATGTTCTCTGTATGTATGAGCCTGTTTCTGTTCTGCTTGTTCATTTATTTTGTGTTTTAGATTCAATTGTTGATAGATATGTATTTATTGCCATTTTATTAACTATATATTTTATCTTTGTTTTTCCTTCTCCTTTTGAAAGAAGATCTTTTAACATTTCATATAAAACTGGTTTGATGGTGATGAATTCCTTCAGCTTTTTCTTGTCTGGGAAATTCATTTTTGTCCTTCAATTCTAAATGATAGCTTTGCTCAGTAGAGTAATCTTGATTGTAGGTCTTTGCTTTCCATCACTTTGACTATTTCTTGCCAATCCTGCAAGATTTCTGGCCTTCAAAGTTTCTGTTGAGAAATCAACTGGCAGTCTTATGCGTACTCCCTTGTAGGTAACTAACTGCTCTTCACTTGCTGCTTTTAAGATGGTCTCAGTCTATAAACTTTGACATTTTAATTATGATGTGTCTGGGTGTGCGTCTCTTTGGGTTCATCTTGTTTGGGACTCTCTGCACTTCCTGGACTTATATATCTATTTCCTTCACCAGGTTAGGGAAGTTTTCTGTCATTATTTTTTCACATTGATTTTTCAATTCCTTGCTCTCTCTCTTCTCCTTCTGGCATGCCCATGATGTGAATGTTGGTATGCCTGAAGTTGTTTCAGAAGCTCCTTACACTATCCTCAATTTTTTGGATTCTTTTTTCTTTTTGCTGTTCTGATTGTGTGTTTTCTGCTTCCTTATCTTCTAAATCTCTGATTTGATCCTCTGCTTCACCTACACCACTGTTGATTCCCTATAATGTGTTCTTTATTTCTGACTGGTTCTTTTTTGTTTCCTAGTTCTGTTTTTATGTTCCTTATCTTTTTGTTGATGTTCTCACTAAGTTCATCTACTCTTCCCCTAAGTTGATTGAGTGTCCTTACAATCAGTGTTTTGAACTTTCATTTAGTAAATTGCTTGTCTCCATCCTATTTAGTTATTTTCTGGAGTTTTGTTCTATTCTTTCATTTGGGATATTTTTCTTTGTCTCCTCATTTTGGCAACCTCCCTGCATTTGTTTCTATGTATTAGACAGAGCTGCTGCATCTCCCAGGCTTGGTGGAGTGGATTTATGTAGGTGTCTTCTAGGGTCCAGGGGCACCGCTTCTCTGTTCACCTGAGTTGGGCAATCCAGGTGTGCCCACCCTCCCCCAGTGTGGGCTCTGTACACCCTCCTGTTATAGTTGAGCCTTAATTGCTGTTGGCACGTCAATGGGAGGTATTTACCCCTAGGCCAATAGATTGGCTACAAGGACTGGCTGTGACCACCATGGAGGATCAGCAGTGCAGGGGCCCAGCCCACAGAGCAGGACTTACTTCCATGGGGCTCTGATGCTCTCTGAGTCCCCCTTGAATGTATCACTTGTGGAGGTAGTTGGGTGGTGCTTTGATGTTATTTATTTGAGCACTAAAGAAATGGGACACTAGCCAGGTTAGTTTTGATGAGACAAGAAAATCTCTTTGGAGATTAAGCCCAAAGAAATACAGCAGTAGAAAATTCAGAAAGTCAATGCTGACTCTCAGATGGGGGAGGTACTCAGTCAATGCTAACATTGTGAGTGCTTCCAAACTTTGCCCTAAAAAGTTTGTAAGGAGAATTTTTATTTCTATTTTTATTTTCAGTAAAGATGCCATAGAGAATTTAAATAATTCCTAGTTGAGATAAAAGTAAACTTCATTAAGATAATTAAATATTCTTGGAACACTGAAAGAGTTGGTTTTCATATTTAATTCTTTGGACAATTTTCCCTTCAACTATAGGCTTTTAATTAGAATATTGCTTGTCTAATCTATAACTTAAAAAAAATTCTTATCATCTATTCCCAACACTACTCCCAATATTATTCTAGGAGTCATCAAACTTTTGAGGAAAGCAATCTTGTGTAATTTTTTAGAAACAGTCAAACCTTTTCTTGGAAGTTAATTCTCTGAATATTAGTTCTACCTGAATCAAATTATTAGTTCTACCTCAATTAAATGCGCAGTGAAAGCGATCAAATAACTTAAGATCTCACTGCTTTACCTTTACTTTTTTTTTTATTCCTCACTTTTCCATTTGTCATCAGATAGAGTGGGAGAGAGGGAGAAAAAGAGAGAGAGAAACATCGATGTGATATAGCCACATCGACTGGTTGTCTCCCGCATGACCCAACCAGGGCCGGGGACAAACCGCAACCGAGGTACATGCCCTTGACTAGAATCGAACCCGCGACTCCCTGGTCTGTGGACCAAGGCTATAACTGCTGAACCAAACTGGCCAGAGCTCACTGTTACCTTTAAAAGGTACTTAAGGACTAATAAATGAGGGAGTCAATTCTCAATATTTCAGATGTTTTAAGTATTGGCAAAGTAGGCAGAAAACTAAAAATCTTCAAGTACTGGTTAGACATAAATGAATACAGAATACAAGAATAATCCCGAGATTTCCAGACTACAACTATTTTTTCCTTAAAACATTTCTTCAGCATCCTTGCTTTGACATTAAAAGTTCTTTAACATTAAAGTTCCTAAACAATGGTCATTTATATGATTTGCGTATTTATAAATCTGCCCCAGATAGGTACTGGAGCACAGAGACCAATTCACATTTCACATAATTCAATGTGCTTCTTTTTATTTCTCTGCTGAATAGAAAAATAGTAACTCTCAGGACTGTAATCTTCTTTATAAAATGGGCCATTAATGATTTACAAGGGTGGTTTGTTTGGGTTTGTTTTTTTTCCAAAGGGAGAGAAATAAAACTTTGCATGAGTTTTCTTCCAGGCTGACTTTTTCAGAGCCCTGATATGAAAAATGTTATAAAATATAATGAATAAGTAGAACCAAGTCCAACCTCTCCCCCTTGGCATCCTGGACCCTTTATATCCTGGACCCTGCTCTTTACATGCTTTTTCCATCACTTCTTTGTCCATCACCCCCTATTCTTCCTGCCCTTAAGCCCAAGAGAATCCTTCCCTAAACACTTTCTGGACACTTGTCTAGGTCATTTTCCTCTGCTTCTCCATCTGTGGCATCCCTCATCCTCTTCCAAGGGCCAGATCAAATGTCACCGTTGGCTGAGGCATTCTCTAATACAGTGGTTGACAATCAGTGTGCCGTGGCACACTGGTGTGCCACAAGAATTTTTAAAACATGCAATACTGGACTATGTAGTCAGGGGCACTGACCTCTTTTCCCTTAGATTGTCAAATAAAAGAATGACAACAGCCAACACAACAATAGCCATCTGGTGTGAATGCATCAAAGTTATACCTATTTTTTTTTTTTTTTGGTCAGATCAGCAAAAAATATATTTTTTGGTATGTCACAGAATTTCAGTAATTAGTTTGTATATGCTGTGAGATGAAAAAGGTTGAAAATTGCTGCTCTAAGACATCCAGAGATCATTAA